CCCTTTCCCTTTTTTCCCCTCCTTACCCCCCCCCGCTAAAAAGCTTTTTTTTTTTTTTTTTTTTTTTTTTTTGATGTGCCTCTACATGGTTTAGTTATCTGACTTTAAATTGTCTTCTGTAGTAAAAAAAAAAAAAAAAAAAAAGCCATGTGGTTGATTGCTTCTAATATGGCATGTTACTCTGAAACAATTACTTCTGTATCTTGAGAGCTTCTAATGGCTAAATAACGTTGCAGCTTGTTATTTGTTTAGTATCAGTAATATTATGAGTTTGTGTGATTGTTAATTTAAGTTTAATGTGAATGAGACCATGTTTAACTCATAAAAAGCCTTTTTCGTCACAGCTTTGTCCCCTGCTCAGAAAGAATCCATGTGGCTGTAACAGAAATGGCCGCCCTCTTCCCCAAGGTTTGATAACACTTTTTGCATTTACAGTCAAACATTGTTGTATCCACTCTTCATCAGCATGAACTTCATCATAGTTTTAATGCTGCATCTGGCTCCTTGTTTTGTGGTTGGAATAATACAACACAATAACTGGGTGCCTGGGTTTCGATTTATTATGTATTTCTTTTTCAGTCACTCTGGGTCAAAATTATACATACACTCCTTTAATTCTGAATTATTCCTTACAGTTCATATCAGTTATGGGAGTGCGATGAACTCCAGAGGTGTAATATTGCGAGTTCAGCCCTAGCTAGGCTTCATCGCGTCAGATCATGAAGCTTTTCTTCAAAAGGTATTCAGTCTGTGTGGGCAGCTGTATATTTCAGTCACTTTTGAAGGTGCTGATGATGTTGATGTTGAGAGTGAATTGAGACAATGAGGCCCGTCCTCCGGGATCTTCCGGTTCACAGTTGTCTCAAGTCTTGGTGTAGGATGTATCTGAACATCCTAACCATCTCATCTTAAACTGAGCAATTTGGGTTAACGCTTGAAACTTAAACACAGGGTCTGTTCAGCTGCCAGCGATGATGCTGCATTCACGGCGCAATGATTAAAGCTTCAAAATAAGATTCACGCCGGTGATGAGTGCAAGCTTCTGAACGGCATCTAACATGGAGGGAATTGTCCACCGTCTCTGTTGGCTTCATCCCTTTGTGACCCACAAACCTGACTGTGGTTCTTTGTGTGTCCCCCCCGAGCAGAAGCCACGCTCAGAGACGGTGAGAGGGTCTCTGCGCCTGCTGACCACCAGCGCCTGCCGCCTACAGAACGAGTGCCGGAAAGCCGTGCCTTTGGACGGCAGCTCAGGGCCGGACATGCAGCTCGTCACCCAGCAGGTCATACAGTGTGCTTATGACATTGCCAAAGCCGCCAAGCAACTCGTTACCATCACAACGAAGGAGAATACTAACTAGACAGCATGCTCCAAAGCCACCATCTCAGTATTGTTCCTATATTTTCAGTGATTAAAAAAGAAAACAACTTATTTTTAATGTATTGTGGTATATGCATGTGTTTTTTTTTATTATTTAAAAACAATACTGACTATATCTAAAAGCAAGATTGTCAAAGGGAAAGGAAAAAAAAATGCAATGTTATGCAATGTATTTAGCTGTTGTTGTAGCACAATTCCTCTTAATGTAACATTTTCCGAAAAGCACATCTGTATTGCTCTATTATAGAGTGATTGTGAAACATCTTTACTCAGCTTAAAGTAGCTAAAAGAAAAATAATGAAGTACATTAGACTGCATGCTGAAATAGGTCAATGATAGCTGTCCAAACCATGTTTGTTTGCTATATCCAGGGTTCCTACACATTGAGAAACTCTAAACACTCTAAGGTAAAAATTACCTTATTTCTTTGTCTTTTCTGACTGTATAAATGTAAAAGTCCAACATAAATTTACAACAGGGAAAGGTCCAGTCAAATATTTGTCTTTATTTGTCTCAGACACAGTAAACTCTTTGCTTTTACAGCCAATTATCATGGGAAAAAAACATTTTCTTACCTGATAAACTTTATGTTCACAAACAGCACCCACTGTTGCTCTGGTGGTTTGCCTGTTTAATGTGTTAGCCGTTCCTATGTTTGCCATTTCCTGAGCTTTGGGTTGTTTTGCCTTTGCTTTTTGGAATCTAAGATTCATATTGTCTCATAATCATGGATTCAGTTTTTGCTGGGTGCACATCTGGAAATAATCAGATTTAGTCATGTTTCTGTTTTTCTGGTTCTAAAATATTAAGGAAATACGGAAGGAAATTAGGTGTGAAACAACACTTGTGTGTTGTTTTCCAGGTGCATTAAAAAACAAACAAACATGAAATTATGGTAACTTGAGTCCAAGGCTGAATGATATTGAAACCAACAAAATCTGGAAGTAAATATATTTCTTACGCTCTTATGTTTTTTCATACTTATCTGGAAAATCCTGAAATCAAATACAGATTTTTAAAGATGGTGTAGGAACCCTGAATGTAATACAGATCATCTCACCATCACTTTCAATATAAATAATTGAGCATCCAATTAACTCCCACCCATGGTTCAGAATGAATGTTTAGACGCTTCTTGGCGCTGCGGTATTAATGTTTGCTTCAATAAAATGTTATTTACATATTTTGTCAGCCAAATGTAACCCTGTCTGCAGTGAACTGCCACTCTGTGCCCATTTAGCCGGTGAAAGTGAGTTAGACCTGTTCAGGGGCCAAGATGTTTTCTGCCACCAGCACAAAGAAGATCTTTTAGTATTTACTGTTCCAACAGTTTGGTTTCTTTCCACTGGCTTCATGTTGTCTTGCAGGTGTTTCATTCAGCTTTTGGTCACATGTATGTGAGTTTTTCTCTGTTCTGTTTCCCCTGGTTTTATTTTCAATGTACAACGAATGGGCTAAAACTGTAGATGTGTTCTGTATTGCTGAGCAACCCAGTGTTTATCTTCCCAAAGTGTTTCTGAGTTCATTTTCATATTGAAATCTCTTCCAAGTAAGTCCCTTCCTGTGCTTGACTGAAGTGCAGGGATGTATGAAATGCAGCATCTCAGCTGGAAATGAAGTAAAAAAAAATATTTTTTAAATAAACTTTATTTATATGTAAACCTATTAGTCTTTTTGGTGTTTTTAGCTTCATGTTGTATTACTTCAATAGACAAATGTACCAGATGTTTGACTTCATTTCTTTTATTAAAAAAAAGTCTATAAAACAGAGTAGAAAATCCGCCACTCTACTACAAAACTCTAAAAGTGCAAAACAACAAACAATGAGCCCTTCAAAAACAGCAAAACATCAACATTATGATGGCACTCAACATGCTCTCCATCAAAAGGCACTAAAAGAGAGAGATTTCCATTTTTTTTTCAAATATCTAACTAAAAGTCCTTTGTGCAAAAGGTGCTGACAAAACAGGTTTAGTAGGGGATTGTCCGATTAGCTGTGAATTCTTTGTTTTGCTGTTTTGTGTTGATTTGAAGAATCACAAAGGAGGGCCATAAAGAAAGCTTCATCTGCAGAGCTTTGGATTTACTTTGAATTTTTCCCCTGTCTGTTAAACATCAAGGAGGAAAGAGAGAGGACACCTTCATTGATCACACAGTTGATCTTGGACATGAGGTTCTATAAAACATTTAAAACTAGCTCCCTTCAGACGGATACTTCATTAGTACGAGTCTATCTGTGCTGGAGTTTGGCTGTCTATGCCGGCTACGTCCAGGCTGATCGAGGTTTGCTGTAAATCTGAAATGAAAAAGGTGAAATTTAACATCTAGGATCAAATTGGATCTTTCTAAATTTAACACTTAGAAATCAGTTTACTATTCCTTTCTTACCTTTTCTTGGTAACCTTGCTCAGCCATCCTCTGCATCTCAGCCTTAAGGTCTTCCTCTTCGATTTCAATGGCCTTCTTTTCCTCTTCCTCCTTCTGCTGTTTCCTCCACTGCTCCTCCAATTGCTCTTGTTCTTTCTGCTCCACCTACATCGAACACATAAACCCAACTCAACAAACGGCTTTACAACAAGTCTGTAAAAGCCAAGTTGTGCCCTACGCTCCAACCTGAGCGTTCAGCTCCTGCATCCTGGCTGTCCTCTGGTCTTCTTCAGCCTCTTTTTCCAGACGTCTGAGCTTCTCCTCCTGCTCCAGCACCCGGATCAGCTCCTCCCGTTTCTTCAGAGATTCCTCTTGAGCTTCGCGGTTCTTCAGCATTTTCAACTCCAGCTGCTGCTGCCTCCCAGCAAGCACCTTACAGAGAAAACAAAACATGGCATTAACTTTATTATTCTTTATTATTTAAAGTTTTAGTCATTCAAAACAATTTTACCTCACGCATGAGTCGTTCTCTGGCCTTCTTCTCCTTCTCCCATTGGGCCTCACGTTTCTCCCAAACACGCTGAGCTTGTTCTCTGAGTGTACATGTGAAACATTAGCATACATGTGAAGTGCAGGGAGATTTCCGCAGATTCACATTGAAAAGGACTACAGCTGTTTGTGTCGCACGGATTGCAAGAAAAAAAAATAATGCTGTCTGCTTAACACTGTCGGTTTTAAGCAGCCTGTTGCATTGCTGGCTTCAGCAAGCAGAAAAAACCCCAAAACATTTTAGCTCTTTTATAAGTTCTGTGTTTAAGGAGAGAAAAATGAACCTAATGGACGTGTGCATGTACATATATTCTTTTAATCAATTTTGTGAATCAAATGCAGAAATGTAGCAAATATCAATGTAAAACAGTTGCAACAAGCAGCAGATGGCGGTGTTTTGTAAACCCTCCTCCTTCGTGTTTACAGAATCTGGGCACTGACCTGTGCAGGAAGTCAAACTCGGCCTCCCTCTGGCGCTCCAGCTCAAGCTGCTCTTCTATCACAAGTTTCATCCAGGCAGCGTTGGCGGCCGCTATCTCCCTTCTCACCGTCTGCAGCCTTTGTTCCTCCTTCTCTTCTTCCATCAAGGCCGCCAGAATCTTACGGTCGACCTCCTGGGGTTCGCAAAGATTCTCAAGTTAAAGCAATGCAAAGTGGAACATATTTGAATCAGCTAACTGCTGGTAAAGCACATTCACCAGTTCCTCTTGGATTTGTTGGGCTCTCCTCTTCATCTGAGCGCGGTACTGACGAATCAGAAAATGGCTGTGGTGGAACGACAACCAAATGAGCTCCGCAATTCAAACGTCATCAGTCATGAAAGGATTGTGGTTATTTATCAGAAACCTACCCCATTTCATGTTTCTGCTGCCTTTCCTCTGTCTTCTTCCTTTCCTCCTCCATCTTCTCCAGCTCCCACTGCTTGACCAGCAGCGCCTCCTGCTCCTTCTTCAGACGAGTGGCCTCAGGGAGACAATATGTACAACTTAGGAAGCAGGCTTTACACCATGACTTTTACCATGTTTCAGAGGGTGCACGAGATCAAACTTTTACCTCACCAAGAAAATATTTTTTTAATGCTTAATTTCTGTTTAATTTTTGTCTTTTCACAGATAAAGAAGAAATAAGATTTGACATTAATTTGTAAACATCTCTTCATGCAGAAGAGGACATTTAAGGGGATTTTCTGCGTTTTTGTGATTGCAGGTTTTTGCAGTACCTCCTCCTCCCTCATTTTCAGTTCTTCCATCTGTTTACGGAGCTCTTCTGCACTCTTCCGATCCTCTTCTCTCTTCCTCTCATCTGCTCGCCTTATCCTCTCCAGAGCTTCTTTTCGACTCCTCTCGTACTCATTTTCAAAGCGCGTCTTCTCCTCCTGCTCCTTCACTTCGTTCTGCATGTTTGATGAGACAGGTGTCAAACTTTCTTAATTATATGCCATGTTGAGGAGATTTAACCTGAGTAGATCCCAGACGTGATACTGTGCTCACAGACTGCATAAGTGCTCCTCAATTAAAAATTTATTGTCCCACAAATAATTGATGAGGTAAACAGAAACGGACCAATTTAATGACTGGCTGCTTTTATGTGGCAGCCCTGGGTTGTAGTAAATAGCTTCTTTAAAGGGTGTTGATTAACATGAGCATAATTTAGGATATTTCATCTGACGGATGGGCTATTGAACTTACCTGTTTCTTCTCGGATATCTGGCCCTCCCATTGGCTGACAACATGATCTTTATGCAGTTCTGACTCGACCTGCAAACACAGCGAAAGAGTGAAGTTGTGAAATGACACTGACCTGTTGAGGACAGGAACACCGGGGTGTTTTACTGTTTAAAACCCTGGACTCAGGCAGGCACAAGTCACGGAATCTGTGCCTCACGAAGGGGATGAAGTTTCAGGATCATCTGAACAAAAAGTGTCTGTTTTCCCCCACTTGCTGGATTCGCCACACACACACACACACACACACACACACACAGCGTGGTCATGAGATCTTTGAAGCCATTTAATCATGCCACCACCTGTCTGACTTTGAGGTCATTTTAGTCACTTTTGCATGAATAGTTTAAGCATGCCTACCTCACGCAGGGTATGGCTGTTTTTCTTCCAGTGCGCTTTCAGGAGTTCCTCCGCAACCTGAGAGCACAGAGAGCAATTTATAGCATGATATCATGTTCACTTTTGATGAAGAAAAAAAAAATGCTACATTATTAAGAGTATTTACCTTTTTCCTTCTTTCCTCTCTGGCTTTACGAAGTTCTTCAGCTCTGTCCACCTTCTGACTCACCACTTGGCTTTTGTCAGGGACTAAAGCTCGCAGTTCTGCCTCCAGTTGGTCCTGCTCCTCTTGAAGCATGGCCCTGAGCTGCCTTCTGCGCTCCTCCAGTCTGATTTTCTTTTCCTCCTTCAGTCTCTCTCTATGGTATGCTGTCATACTGGCAACAAGTGAAAACCCCCCCACAAAATTAAACATTTTCTCCCATCTTTGTCTGCAGATACAGAACTCTGAGAGAGGCAACATTGAAGACAAATATTTAAACTATGAATTATGTTCAGTGGCTTGCATTAGAATTCATTGTCCTTGAATTTTCCCTCATCTTGTGATGTTCTAAACACAGATTTTATGTGACAGGCCTACACATATGAATGCATAATTGTGTGGTGGAAAGAAAATTCCATCACATTATTTCATATAAAAATCTGAAAACTGTGGCTTTCATTTATATTTATCCCGGTTTATCTTTAAAAAAAAAAAAAAACAAGGGACGTTCAATCAACGGGCTTCTGAAGTTATCAAATTAGAGTCGACTTGTGTGTAATGTGATCTCAGTATACAGACAAACAGCATCATAAAGACCAGAGAACACAGGAGACTGGTCAGGGAGAAAGTGTGGAGATGTTTAAAGCAGAGCCGAGATATACAACAACAACATCAGGAGTCTTGAATAATCTCACAGGACGATGAACCACTGAACCATAAGAACCAGTCGTTTTCCAAACAACTTCATCATACTTCCAGTAACA